TTCCTACAGGGTGTGCTTACTGCATCCCTCACAAGGTCACCTATCCATACAGTTACTCTGGGCAGATTTACACCAGCAATCAATATGCACATTTCCTGATGATGCTGCAGTGCTGTGGGTGGTGGTAGTGTACCAGCAAGAGTCATATGATCCTTTTTCTCATCTCTCAGTCTAGTCTTGTGAGCCTTGTGTAGGGCAAGAGAAATTTAACATGTATACAATATGACCCAGATTTCTGTCGTCTGCAGAAGCCAAGTTCGGAGCAGTTTACATCTAATTTGCATTTGCCACAAGCAAGCATGACAGATTTTATATTCAGTGTTGCTTGAGTTACAACACTCGAGGGTGCCAAGTTTATAATTAGAAATGCCCTAAAGTTGATCTTTTTTTTTTCCGTATCACTTAAAACTAAAGAGTTACATTAATAATGTCTTTTACACTTGACACATTTAGATATTTAAATATTCATACAGAGAATTTTATAAATGTTCAAGGGAAATGTGCTACTACAGAAAAAAAAAACGTGGTTGCTCCGTGCCTCCAGTGTGACTTAGAGGAACACTCTAGCCACACGAAAAATGATATGAAGTAGGCAGAAAAGTGTCCTGAGAGAGTTTTCACTACCAGGGTGAAGAATTACAGAGGAGCACGTCTCTTCTTTTCTATGTAGCCATAAATAGCAAGTCATTAAGAAAATGGCATGTGATGGGCAGATTAGGATGGTGCAGCAGAAGAGACGTGTAATGAAGACAGTTGAACCTTACAGTAATCTTCCCTGTCCCACTCACCCATCTTATTGCCTCATACATTGTTTTCCTTATCTCACATAGCTTCAAACCACCTTTTATTTCTCCTTGTTCTTTCTTGCAACGGAGACTAGAATAATGTGTGGTTTGGTTTCAGAGAAACATCCTTTTCAGTATAGCAGTATAGAAGTAAGATCATACTACTCCCATGACAACTTCAAGGAATTGTAGAAATAATGACAGCTTCCTATGCTGTGTAATTTTAATGAACCTGACAAAAAGTGATTTTATTGCACGCTGAAGCAGTCGATACACACTGAATCATATGTAGAGATAGGGAGATGTTTTAGGTGACAAATGACAAAGTTATCTAATACAAGGCATAAGGGGACGGTATTATGATACATCTGGAGAGATGTATTAATAAAAAGATAGGTATACACTGGCCTAAACTCATGGATGCATTTACCTTTTGATACATGTGTGCACAAACTATGAGCAAAGCTCACATAATAGCAGTTTTACAGCTACCTTTTCCGTGTTTTATCCCTAATAATTCACAGTGCTTTAGAGTCTATTTTGTATAATAATTTTATATGAGATTCTTTTTTTCCATTGCACAGTTTTCACGAAATGACCTTTACCTATGATTTTAACTGCCAAATGTTCCTCTTTGTATTAAAGAAATTCCAGTTGGCGCTTAATGAAAGGCAGGTACATTAGAAAGGTCAGCTATAGATGTGAAGTGAATGGGCCTGTGTGCTGGAAAGGCAGATACCCAATTAAAGCAAGTTAACTAGGCCAATTCAAATCAAATAAAGTGAGAAAGATGACGGACTATAAATACATAGCTTGAGATGTAAACATGCAAATCAAAATTTTCAGATGTGCTTGAGGTCAAAATGTTTCATGGGGTAGCTACTTAGCCACTGATCATTACATATGCAACCGGTTCCCAAGAAACAAGCAACATGATTGAGTCTGAATGCACAGACACACTGTATGCAAACACACACGTTACCCACAAGTACCCACACATACTACATGCACCTGATGTACTGCAGCTGCATGGTATGTATATCATGAAGCTATATTTTGCATTTTGAAATACAGAGAACTTTGCACAGGAAAAACGTAGGTTTTTTTTTTTTTTTTTTTTTTATATATGGGGCTCGGGGAATAATATATGTGCATTAAGTCACCAACAGAACCTGCAACTTTAGATCTCCTGTGCATTATCTCTTATTTACTTGGTTAGATGATTTTCTTGGTGACAGATGACAATTAGATGGTTGTTCCAGAACTATGGTTTCTGTCTGTGGACTGTTATACAGTCCGGGCCCAGTGGGATTCCACTGTTGTGTTCTGCTTAATAATCCAAATCCTCTAAGTCCCCCTTGGCCCACTTCAGTCCTTTGATTGCTCCTTGTATTTTTATTACGTTACACTCCATTTTCATAATCTGGTGCATAGCATTCTTATGGTGTGTGGTGGAGAAAATGAAAAGACAGAGCCTAACAAGTAATGCACTACGCTCTCCTAAGGTCATCCAGATTACAAGGGTCAGTCTCTAATCCTTAAAGCCGGGTGTGCTCTTAATTTGGAACCATAATTCTTGGAGCAAATAACTCCATAGAAAAATGGCTGTGAAGAAAAATGGCAAGAAGCAAGTGTTCATATATATGCACACAATTTGTGTGAGAGTAAAGATCTAAATATGCCTTAGCTTGCCCATGAAATCACCTATTTTGTCACATGGGAGATGTCCCGAAGTGACAGGGGACAGATATCCACCTTTGTTCAGTCACCCTGGGTCGTGCAATACAACCTTTTGAAGGAGGTCATTCATTTCACAATAAGAACAACAAAAAGGGAGGAAAAGAGCTGGGTCAGCAAAAATGTGAATGGCACAGTGTGACTGCGTCGTTCTGTTATCAGTTCAGATGCACACATTAGTCAAGTGCACCTCAGCACCTCAAAACTTCAAAACCTTTGCCATTCAATTCTTTATTTCTTTTAACCAAACTAATGAATTGTGGCTAAAAACTGCAAGGAGGTGATCATTATTACCTCATTAATAGTTTTTAAAAGTCATACATGCTAACCTTTGTTGAAAGGAAATTTCTTTGAATGTGATTCAAATTAAACTGGAATAAGCCCTTATATTATGAAGACAGTAAAATGTGAATTTCTAATCTGGAAAGCAGGAGTTCAGTTACTTACAGTGCTGTAAACAGCAGGTACTGTATGCGTTTTAATTTAAAATAGTAAAGCTTCAGTGGATCAACCACTTTTTCCCATTTGTATCTTAAAGGAAAAGACCAGTAAAACATTTGGTGGTAGAAATACCAGAATGCTAGCGTGACATTTTTAAATAGTATTTCCAATCTCTGTATGTTTCTTTCACACTCCATTCATTTAATTTCAGTCATTAAAATGTTGTATATTTTTAACAAATAATGTGCAACAATGGCATACCGTAATCTACAGATAAAGAATGTCAGCGTTATCGTCAAATATGAAGAACAAACAAAACAAAAACAAAAAAGCTATTGCATCTCTAGCATGTGCCCTAATATAGCAAGATTTATTCAAGAGCATATTGATTGAATATGAAGATTATATAGTTCTACTCCAGTCTGTCCCTGTCTGTCTTCTGATTTTGCCGCCTGATGCCAGGGGTAGATTTACATCTGTCTAATTTCGTGCTTGTCAGCCCACCATCTGGTATGGTATCAAAATTAAAGACAGGAAAAAATGATATCACACTGTCAATCACACACACACACACACAAATGTGCAATATAAGTTACTGAAGCTGTCTGTGGTGAAAATTCATCTCACAACAGATATGAATGTGATGGTTCTGCGTCTTGACCCAGTGTTTTGAATCTTGTTTAATCATTATTGTGTGAGTGTCTTATGTTTCCTCGTTTAGTTTTCTTGCACTTATGATTGCATTTTTCTCTGTGGTTTTGGTTTAGTTCCCTTTAGTGTTTCCCTTCCCCTGTGTTTTGTCCTCAGTGTGTCCTGTAGATGTCAGTCTTGTTGTCATGCCATGTCATCTCGTAGCCTTTGTCTCTGTGTTCTGTCTTCAACGTTCCCTCAGCCTCCCCAGCCTGTCTAAAGCCCTCTGTGGATACAAAAGCTCACCTTGTTTTTCACACATTTTAATGAGTTCAGTTTTAAATCATTTTTGTTTGCAATATATAATCTTGTAAGGGCACAAAACTTTTTAAATTGGCATAATCTCAAACCAAATCTAAAAATGAAGCATTGATACAATATGTAAAATATTCTAAGAAGTTGCATTTCAATCCAAACCGTGATATATTCTCAATCCAAATATTTTTCACTGTTCAAAGGCAGGTTTGTCTGCGCCTCCTCTACCCCACATAGCTCCTAACAAATATTATTGCACTATTTAAAACTGGAAATAGTCTTTTATGTCAGGAATTTCAGGGATCTTTTTGCTTAAATGGGTAGTTTCAGAAGCCCTTCCATCATATCAGATGTTGGAATGTGTAAAAATGACTAATTTGAGGACTTGCAACATGTGGATCATTGTTTGCAAATTTTGTTGCTTTGTTTAAATTTCTTTATATTTATTGATTCATTTGTTATGCCTCTGAGATAAAAAGATTCTTTCAAAATCCTTGACACAGGTTTGACTAAGCCAGGCTAGATTTCTGATTTCAATACTTTCTGTTATGCTTACATTGTTTTATTTTTGTTCCGTTCTCTATTTTTTTGTCATAGATAAAGATGTTTATTGTTTTGTTGTTTGGAACAGAACAATCCCATAGTTCAAAAATATTCCTCCTGCAAAACAGCTTAATTTCTCCCCCCTCCCCCCCAAAAGATCGCATCCTTGTGGCAAGATGAACATCAGCCTTGTGGAAAAATAACCGAGTCAATTAGTTCTCAATACATTATTTGCCTGTTGGTGTAATAACAATAGTGTGAATGCTGTACAGTCTGTACATATGAGAGTCTAAGTAGCTCAAACATAATAATACACCTAAACATTGTTAAAGGGTGGTTTGTTGTGTGATGGCTTCTTTTAAATGAGGAATACTTCATCGAGCAGAGTACAGTGAAAGCACAATAGATGAAACAAAGATATGTAGTCGTGTAATAGTGTAGTAATACTTGAACACAACGGGCACGCAGACGTTTGTATGCCCGCACGCACACAAGTACAGAAAGTGAATCTGATATGTGTTTTTCATTTGAGTCCTAATTCTCTTGCAGGTGACAGAGACACGGACGGGCCCGCTGGGATGCAGCAGCTATGACAATCTGGACTCAGTTAGCTCAATCCTTCTGCAGAGCCCTGAGAGCAAGCTTCATCTACAAGGTAAACACTGCCCACATTCATCCCCAGAATGCTGGCTGTCACAAAGAAGGAGGGTCAAACTCTCGCTTGACCTCTAAAATGAAATGACATCTATACACTTAGATGAAATAGTCTGAGGTGGACTAAAGAAATGGCTTGTGGTTTCTGAAGAATTGAAAGTCAATGCATTTTTTAATTGGCACTGGGATGGGGATAGAATTGCTCCCCATTCCCATCTGGGGATTTCAGCACAATGTTCTGGTTATAGATGTGCGCTTGTGTTCTAATGTGATTGTGTCTTAAGTCTTTCTAAGCTTTGATCAAAGACAGGTCTCCAAAACAGTTGTTTGAACAGTGCAAACTAATCAGTCATGAGAGTACAAAGTAGCACTTTCTGTGTAGCTGCAATGTGTAAAGGGACAAATGAAACAAGGTGTTTAGACAGTGTTTTTATGTTTGACAGTGCTAGAGCCATATAATGGTTTATAGGAACAAGCTCGCTATTTATACAGGAGTTTCTTTCATTAGGATTTGTCAGTATTTGAAAATGAATCTACTTTGCTCATGGATCATACGTTGGTCAGTGCACACAGCAAATTTACCTATGAATGGTGATGTTCTTTTAAATTAAAATAGGTCTGTCTTTCTAACAGAAGTAACAATTAGCTTAAGAGAGGAATTACATGCAGTGTCAGTCACCCAGGGGAAAACGAATGATGAAAGACTCTGTAACTGTGGTCAAGTGTTTGAGAAGTGTGATTGCTTCTTTGATTTATTTCAGTTTATGCAGGTTATTAGAACTAGTTTGAAAATCACATAGGCCTATTTTTAATCCACACATCTCCATCTCCCTCTCAGAAGGGATCATTATTCCTTCTCCAAAGTCAGAAAACTAAGTGGTTTGTCAAAGAAACACTTTTAAGTCCTTGGCTGCCACTTACTCAAAGCACTCTATAGGTTTTGGGAAAAGCTTTATTGTCATGCACCAAATGTATTAGCCTTGTGCTTTGAAGAGTGCTTTGTCACAGAATTGATAGATGACAGGCCCGGAAAAGATTCTTTCTTTTGGTTTGATAATAACTCCACTAGAAAGCGAATGCTTTTATGATTGGTTACAGGCTTAGCAATTTTTATTAAACTAAATTATATTGGTGTGTGTGTGTGCGTATGTGTGTGTAGTGTGTATGCTTATGTGTACCAGAGAGCGGTGGTGGAGGCGGGGGTGTTAAGAGTTTGTCTGAAAATGTGTTCTTTGGAGAGCAATCATTGTTTCTGATTTTAATTAGAGGACAGCTGATGGTGTAACTTCTTCAATAACTGTGGTGCTCTTCAAAGTGATGGCACTTCACTCAGCCCATGAAGAGGGATGTGGCCAGTAGAGAGCTTTTAAGGTCTATGCTGATCAAATATGTTAATAATGAGACCCAACCATTTAATACAACTTATAGTTGTCAAGAAAATGGTTCAGTTTAGATGACTTTATTTTTTTTAGTTTAGTTGTAGTTTATTTATTTTTTTGTCTCTTATTAAACAATATATTTTTCTCAGATTAGAGTAGCCATCTATTTTTGTAAAGAACATTTGTTTGCAGTCTAAGAGTCGGTATGGCTTCACTTTACATGCCTACATGCCGTTTTCCGTCATTAACAACATAAACACAAACATCGAGGTAGTCTTTATCTTGATCTGTGAGGCACTGCTGCAAAAAAGTTGGACTCTTTGCCATCCTAATTCAGAAAAAGTTTGGACTTGGAGGAAAATACAAATAAATGCAGAATGCAATGATTTGCATTTAAAGATTGTGGAACAATTTCAGAATAATGTTCTCCGGTGTAAAATTGCAAAGACTTTCATCATCTATAGTCCATAATATAAAAAGATGCTGAGAATATGTAGAAATTCAGCAAGAGTTTTGCCTTTCTGAGAGATGAAGTGGAAAATTAGTGTTGGGTGTCTGTGGTCTGCAGTCTCTCAAGCAGCATGACATTTAAAACATGTATGATTCTGTCATGGAAATCACTGCATGGGCTTAGAAAACACTATCAGGAATCACTCTCTCTGAGCAGAGTTCGCTGTGCCATCCATAAATGCAGGTTAAAGCTCTCTCATGCAAAGAAGATGCCGTATGTCCAGTAACACCATTGTCTTCTACAATACAGGGTGGGCCATTTATATGGATACACCATAATAAAATGGGAATGGTTGGTGATATTAAAGTCCTGTTTGTGGTACATTAGTATATGTGAGGGGGCAAACTCCTCAAGATGGGTGGTGACCATCTTGGATACAACTTTAGTTTTTTCAATTGGAAAAGGGCCATGTGACACATCAAACTTACCGGTAATGTCACAAGAAAAACAATGGTGTGCTTGGTTTCAATGTAACTTTATTCTTTCATGGGTTATTTACAAGTTTCTGACCATAAATAAAAATAAAATGTGTTCAATGTGCTGCCCATTGCGTTGGATTGTCAATGCAACCCTCTTCTCCCACTCTTCACACACTGATAGCAACACCGCAGGAGAAATGCCAGCACAGGCATCCAGTATCTGTAGTTTCAGGTGCTGCACATCTCGTATCTTCACACCATAGACAATTGCCTTCAGATGACCCCAAAGATAAAAGTCTAAGGGGGGTCAGATCGGGAGACCTTGGGGGCCATTCAACTGGCCCATGACGACCAATCCACGTTCCAGGAAACTGTTCATCTAGAAATGCTCGGACCTGGCACCCATAATGTGGTGGTGCACCATCTTGCTGGAAAAACTCAGGGAACCTGCCAGCTTCAGTGCATAAAGACGGAAACACATCATCATGTAGCAATTTCAAATATCCAGTGGCCTTGAGGTTTCCATTGATGAAGAATGGACCCACTATCGTTGTACCCCATATACCACACCAAACCATCACTTTTGTTGTTCCAGCAGTCTTGGAGGATCCATCCAATGTGGGTTAGTGTCAGACCAATAGCGGTGGTTTTGTTTGTTAACTTCACCATTTACATAAAAGTTTGCCTCATCACTGAACAAAATCTTCTGAGTGAACTGGGGGTCCTGTTCCAATTTTTGTTTTGCCCATTCTACAAATTCTGTGCACCGATCTGGGTCATCCTCGTTGAGATGCTGCAGTTGCTGGAGTTTGTAAGGGTGCCATTTGTGAGTAGCTAATATCCGCCGAAGGGATGTTCGACTAATGCCACTCTCCAGTGATATGTGGCGAGTGCTACACTGTGGGCTCTGGCTGAATGAAGCTAGGACAGCCACTGATGTTTCTTCATTAGTGACAGTTTTCTTGTGTCCACATTTTGGCAAATCCAACACTGAACCAGTTTCACGAAACTTAGCAAGCAGTTTGCTAACTGTAGCATGGGAGATGGGTGGTCTCGTAGGGTGTCTTGAAATCTGCTGCAATGACCCGGTTACTGCGTTCACCAGATATCAACACAATTTCGATCCGCTCCTCACGTGTTAACCTCTTCGACATGTCAATGGCTGTGAACAAAGAGAAACTTGTAAATAACTCATGAAAGAATAAAGTTACGCTGAAACCAAGCACACCATTGTTTTTCTTGTGACATTAGGCAAGGCAAGGCAAATTTATTTGTATAGCACAATTCAACAACAAGGTGATTCAAAGTGCTTCACAGAGACATTAGAAACAAAAATTCATGTGTGCTGCCCTGACAAGCCAATGGCAAAGGACTTTTTAAATCTTATTGACTCTTTTGATCTTGTGCAACCTGTGTCTGTGCCTACACAAAAATATGGGCACACGTTGGATCTTGTTTTAACTCACAATTTACCTGTCTCTAACTTAGAGGTTTGTGATGTTGTATGGTCAGACCATAGGCCTGTCCTGTTTGAGGTTTTCCTTCCTTGTACTAAAGTTAATCTTCCTCCTGTTGCTGCTAGGAGCTGTCGTATTTTTAACCCTTCCTCTGCTGGACAGTTCTCTATTGTTTTTAATCAGAACGGCGGCCTTCCTGATTTCATATGCAATGATACAGAAGAACTGAGTACGTGGTTTTATTCTGTCTGCCAAACTGCTTTAGATTCAGTGGCCCCCTTTAAGCTTAAGCAAGTTAAAGCCAAATCTGAACCCTGGCTGAATGAAGACACCCGGGCTGCCAGAAGAAAGTGCAGGAGAGCTGAACGTAAATGGAAGAAGGATCAACTTCAGGTGTCATACCAAATGTTACAAGATTACTGGAATTCTTACCAGAAAACTGTAAAAGATGCTAAGAGGAAACATTTCGCTACTATTATTCAGGCAAATTGTCGTAAGCCTCATGTCTTATTTAAGACTATTGACATGGTCCTTCATGCTCCACAGTCTTCTGTCGAGTCTTCTCAGGAAATTTGTGAAAACTTCCTACACTTTTTTATTGATAAAGTGCTATCTGTCAAAGCACAGACTTCCCAGTCCGTTCCCGACCCTTCTACCCCTGTCCCTAGTTCTGCTGTCTTTGACAGGTTCGAGCCAGTTTCCATGCTCTGCCTGCAGGAGTTGGTTGCTCACATGAAGCCCTCAGGTTCCCCTTATGATGCGCTCCCTCCTCGATTTTTCAAAGAGGTTTTTCTCACTATAGCATCAGCTGTACAATCCATTGTAAATAGTAGTCTGTCCTCTGGTGTTGTACCTGTCAATCTCAAACATGCAGTGATTCAGCCTCTACTCAAAAAACCTGCTCTTGATCCTGATATTATTGCGAATTACAGACCTATTTCCAAACTGCCTTTTATCTCAAAGATTCTTGAAAAGGTAGTTTACAAGCAATTAATGTCCTTCCTAGAAGAACACGGTATTTTAGAAGTTTTCCAATCTGGTTTTAAAGCTTTACATAGTACTGAATCTGCCCTTTTAAGAGTTTTTAATGATGTGTTTTTGGCAAATGACTCAGGTGACTGTGTTATTATTGTGCTGTTAGATTTAACTGCTGCTTTTGATACAGTGGATCATAATATTTTAATTTCCCGTTTAGAGCAGTTGGTGGGTATGCGGAGTACCGCACTGCAGTGGCT